AAAATTCACACTATAAGGGGGTTGGTGCAAGACGTAAACAAACGTCGGGAGATTTTAGTAATTACGGATAGATGGGGTGTTTTCATAATTTAGCCTAATTTCAAGGGATTTTTCGTAATTTGCCCTAGTTAATAAAATTACATGATGTAAATAAGTCTATTACTTGATAACCTAATTAAGTACTTCTTCACACGTGCCAAATCAAAGTCACACTTCACCCCTATAAATATGTGACAGAAATTGCCATTCATCAACATAAGAAAACAGAATAAAATATTTATTTATTTTCAGCCCTCAAACTATCACCAATTAATCAATGGCACCCTCAAACTTTCACCTTTTTCTATCGTTAATAATCATGGCAATCTCACTCTCAAGCCTCCACGGAAGCTTAGCGGCGGCACGAAACCTACTGCAAACTCCTCTGCCGACAATTCCACCACTACCAACTGCCACACTGCCGCCACTTCCGGCCATTCCAAACTTGCCGACTGCCACACTGTCGCCCCTACCCGCCATGCCGAACTTGCCGACTGCCACACTGCCACCCCTGCCCGCCATGCCAAACTTGCCGGGCGCCACACTGCCACCATTGCCCTCCATGCCAAACTTGCCGGCCGCCACATTGCCGCCACTGCCGACCAACTTCCCGGCCATTCCTAAGGCGGCACTGCCTCCACTGCCCACCATACCTTCTATTCCAACTACAATGCCATCTTTCCCATTTTCCTCACCACCACCCTCAAACTAACACCAGTACTATTGTTCTTTTTCTTTTTTTGGGATATTATGTTTCCTTCCGTTTGGATTGTTCGATGTTCGAGTTATTCTGTAACGTATTATTGTATTTTTTTTTTATGAGCAGATTGTGTTGTAATCTGCATTCTTGTATGCCTTACGCTGTTTCGATTATTACCTCCGCTAATGAGATTTCCTATTTCTTTAATTTATATTTACACATACTTGCATACATAGTCAATCTTCAACTGCAGATATATTTTTAAACAAAATCAAATCAGCTTAAATAAAGCAACCAATTTAACTTGCACAATGTGCCCAAAATAAAAAATAAAGCAACTGAAGTTATTTTCATAACTTTCAATGAACTAATTGCTAGAAAAATTCTGTAAAATTTACCATCTTTCATCACTTTAAACCTGTAATTTTTAATGCTAAGGAAAATGAGAGAACTATCTAATTCGGATGAAAATGCACGAAATTATTTTTAACTCAATGATGAAACTGCAACGAACATCATTTTCTTTACAAATGCAATATATACAAGAAGCACGAGATAGACTTAAAATATTCCGGCATGTTGCTACCTTTTTTCCCTAGCACAGCTACCTCAGACACTGAAAAACTAACTAACGCGGAGAATTGAACATACCGAGTATCTAAATCAAAAACCTTGTGAAAGTAAACGTCTGATTTATGGCTCGACAATTATGAGCCAATGTTAGAAGATGATACACGTATCCCCATCCACATCACGGCCTAAGACACGGAAGTTAAGTAGTATTAGTTACTTTTGCATAAAGATGTGAGTCGGTTTATTTAACGAACAATATTATGTTTTCTGTTTTGCTAGTTCAATATTTAAATGCAAAAACTCGCATATTTTTTCGTTTAACTACATTATATTTGGGCTAGAATTTTACAAAATTCATCTTATCTTTTGAAAACACACACACACACACACACACACATATATATATATATATATATATATGTATATATAATATATATCTATATGGAAAAACGTTTCTTGGTAGACCTATATTCTGAAGTCTGAACTAACACAAGTTTTCAGAATATGGTTGGGCTTCTTTTAACTAACCTTTGTCATAATTAATAAAGATTAAATATTGTAAATAAGTCTACACATGATAACCTAATTAGTACTTCTTCATACTTGCCCAATCAGAACTCCCAACACTCTTTCATGAATTCCACCCCTATAAATATGTGACAGAAATTGCCATTCATCAAATATCAAAAACCAGAATAAAATATTTCTTTACTTTCAGCCCTCCAACTATCATCAATCAACAAATGGCACCCTCAAATTTTCACCTTTTTCTATCTTTAATAATCATGGCTATCTCACTCTCAAGCCTCCACGGAAGCTTAGCAGCACGCAACCTACTCTAAACTTCTCTCCCGCCACTACCGACGATTCCACCACTACCAACCGCCACACTGCCGCCACTTCCGATCATTCCAAACTTGCCTACCACCACACTACCGCCATTGCCCGCTATGCCGAACTTTCCGACCACAACACTTCCGCCATTGCCCTCCATGCCGAACTTGCCGGCCGCCACATTGCCGCCACTGCCAACCAACATTCAGGCCATTCCTATGGCGGCACTGCCTCCCCTGCCCGCCATACCTTCAATTCCAACTACAATGCCTTCTTTCCCTTTTCTCTCACCACCACCATCAAACTAGTCATTCGGGGGATACACCACGCCATTATTCTTCGTCACCATTTTCATTCATTCAAGGACTGTATTTCATGATTCGTTACTACTGTTAGCTTTTGTAGTAGTTTCCTTCGGTTCGGATTGTTCCATGGTTGAATTACTCTGCAATGTATTTTTATTATTATCTGGCCAGATTGTGTTGCAATCTGAACTGTTTGTATGTCTTTAGTTCATTAATGAGATTTCCTATTTCTTTGTTTCTCCTATAAGCAGTGATCATGGTTACACATGGGAAATACGTACATGAAAAAATCGTCTATATACCTAGAAAACAGCCAAATCAAGAAATCAACTTAACTTGTACCATCTGCCAGAATCATGTACGTATAAATGTGTATTTTCTAGTGTGTTTCAGTCCTGAAATAGCGTTCCGCAAAATAATCTAGACGCTAAGAAGGCTACTACATGTTCTCCTATGGAATCTTTCGTAATTTTAAGCCCGTAATTTTTAATGCTAAGGAAAAGTAAAAGAACAGACTAATCAATCTCTAGGTGTTAAACCATATAACGAAAGATAATAACAAATATGCAAAAACCAATCGCATTTTATAATGCATCATTATTCGAAATGAAAGAGTCAATCAAGCAGGAAGTAATCAAAAAGAAATTGAAGTGATCAGAAATTATGGCTGTAAAACACAGACGATACTCAAATCCCCTTGCACGTCACGGCATGAGACGTGAAACTTAAATAGCATTAATTAAGTAGTTTTTAATACACGAACACACGATAAGTTTCATTTATTTGAGAAATAAATCAACAATATTATCGTTCCAGATTTGCTTGCTAAGATTTGAATGCTAACTGACCAATACCGAGTGAATTAAGTTTTTGATACCAATTAATCTTTTCTAAGGTTTTAATTTATTTGACCCTTCGGTATTTATATTTTTCATACAACATATAACATAAGTATTATAGAATTACAAAATATATCATAAAATTATAATATATGTTCCAAAAAATCATAGAAGTATTCGGAACCAAAATCGGGTCGGAATTTTCGGTAATTTCGTTTCCGTTTCAAATAAATTCGAAAAAATCGGGAATCAGAATTTCGGAAATCGGACTGAAAAATACGGTTCCAAATTCGGATATTTTCGGATCGGAATGGACGGAATTTGGAAATTCCATTCCGATTTCCACCCCTAGTCTAACCCTATCTTTCAAACCTATAAGTGCATGCATGTTTTATTGGTACACCTGTATTTTGGACTACCACAAAATTTTCAGAAGATAGCTGGGCTCCTTTTAACTAACCTTTGTCATAATTAATAAAGATTAAATGCTGTAAGCAAGTCAATTACTTGATAACCTAATTAGTATTTCTTCACACTCTTCATCAATTTCAACACTATAAATATATGATAAGAAATTGCCATTCAATATCAAAAACTACAATAAATATTTCTTATTTTCACCCCTCAAGCTATTATCAATCAATGGCAGCCTCAAACTTTCACCTTGTTCTAACTTTAATCATGGCAATCTCACTCTCAAGCTTCAACGGAAGCTTGGCGGCACGTAACCTACTCCAAACTTCTCTCCCGCCACTACCGACTATTCCGACACTGCCAACCACCACATTGCCGCCACTTCCGGCAGTTCCAAACTTGCCGGCAGCCACACTACCACCATTGCCCGCCATGCCAAACTTGCCAGCAGCCACACTGCCGCCATTGCCTGCCATGCCGAACTTGCCGGCCGCCACATTACCACCACTGCCGACCAACATTCCGGCCATTCCTAAGGCGGCACTACCTCCACTACCCACCATACCTGCACTTCCTACTAACATCCCAACTACAATTCCTTCTTTCCCTTTTCTCTCCCCACCACCCTCAAACTAACACCACCATTATTCTTCCTTGCCATTTTCTCTGCACGTCAAATTCGGTGTTTCTGTGTTTTCATTTTTTTAAATTTATTTTCGATATTGCCATTATTCTTCCTTCAGTTCGGTTTGTTCCATTTTCAATGTTTTCTGTAATGTATTATTTGAGCAGACTGTATTATAATCTGCTCTGTTGTATGTTTTCAGTGTTTTGATTATTAGCTCTGCTAATGAGATTTCATATTTCTTTGTTACTCCAATCAGCAGTGTGTGTATATATACTATATAATATATATATTCAGATGAAAGAAGCGAACTTAACTTGTACAATCTGCCTAAATAAAGAATAATGTAATTGAAGTTAACTTCTTAACTTTCAATGAACTAATTAGTAAAAACATTCCGTATAATTTACTTACAGTCAACCATCTTAATTATTTATATAAATGTATATCAGGTACAATTCTAGTGCTATAAGTTACGATGGAATCTTTCGTCATTTTAAGCTTGCGAATCTTAATGCTAAGGAAAACGAGAGAACGACATAAGTCGTAGTTTTTAAGTCTGTAACTTCTAAATTATCGTTACTCGTATACGTTTTTTCTGTCATTTAAACTTTCTCAATCACTAATGTCAACGTGATTCGAAAGGAAAAGAGTCGACTAAGCATCATGTAATGATTAATGAAAGTTACTCCTATATAGAACGCACAATTATTTTTAACAGTAGATTATATCTGACAAAAAAAGAAACTAAAATTCGAAACAATGGCTGTAAGAAAAACAAACTTACCATGAAAGGTTGCCTCGCCTCGTATAGACTTGGACATGGTTGCTAGTTCTTGGTTCGTCCGTCCCATCTCTTATTATATTTCACTTTTCCATCTTTTGTTTGGTTTCCTCAGCTAAAGCAAACAACACATTGCATAAATAAAACAATATAATTTCTATAGATTGCTGAAATTAAAGGACAACTGATAAAATTGCAGTGTGACTATTATAGATATTTTATGACAACTTGTTAAACACAGAAATCAATAACAAAATGGAAGAGACAACAGCTCACTGCGGAAAATGCAAGATTCATTTTAATTTAATAATGAAACTGCAACAAAATATCTTTCTTCATAAATGCAATATATACGAAAAAGCAAAGAACAAAAATACGGTTCAGTGCTTGTAAATCACAATATCAAGACTACAATTGGCTTTTATCATTTCAGATTTCCTAGACTAGATTTGAATGCAAAAACTGGCAACTACAGAGTGAATTAAGTGCTTCCATATTTCCGTTAAAGCTGAAATTTGTTTGGGCGATAATTTTTACAACATTAGTGTTTTTTTCTAAAAAAAAAAAAAGAAATATTAAATTTATTTAAGCTCGACTTGTATTCAGTTAGATTGAAATGTTTTATAAATGTACTGTTTTCCCAAATACAATTAACCTTTAAACTAATATATTGAGATTTTGAACCTAACAAATAAGATTAAAATTTAATCAACTAAAGCTCAAATCATCTTACCGTATCTTTCAAACTTCTAACTGCATGCATGTTTTATTGGTACACCTGTATTCTGGACTACCACATGTTTTTCAGAAGATAGTTGGGCTTCTTTTAACTAACCTTTGTCATAATTAATAAAGATTGAATGTTGTAAATAAGTCTATTACTTGATAACCTAATTACTACTTCTTCACACTCAACACTCTTCATCAATTTCAACCCTATAAATATGTGTGACAGAAATTGACATTCAATATCGAAAACTAGGATTAATATTTATTTTCACCCCTCAAGCTATTATCAATCAATGGCAGCCTCAAACTTTCACCTTGTTCTAACTTTAATCATGGCAATCTCACTCTCAAGCTTCAACGGAAGCTTGGCGGCACGTAACCTACTCCAAACTTCTCTCCCGCCACTACCGACTATTCCCCAACTACCAACCACCACATTGCCGCCACTTCCGGCAGTTCCAAACTTGCCGGCAGCCACACTACCACCATTGCCCGCCATGCCAAACTTGCCAGCAGCCACACTGCCGCCATTGCCTGCCATGCCGAACTTGCCGGCCGCCACATTACCACCACTGCCGACCAACATTCCGGCCATTCCTAAGGCGGCACTACCTCCACTACCCACCATACCTGCACTTCCTACTAACATCCCAACTACAATTCCTTCTTTCCCTTTTCTCTCCCCACCACCCTCAAACTAACACCACTATTATTCTTCCTTGCCATTTTCTCTGCACGTCAAATTCGGTGTTTCTGTGTTTTCTTTTTTTTAAATTTATTTTCGATATTGCCATTATTCTTCCTTCAGTTCGGTTTGTTCCATTTTCAATGTTTTCTGTAATGTATTATTTGAGCAGATTGTATTATAATCTGCTCTGTTGTATGTTTTCAGTGTTTTGATTATTAGCTCTGCTAATGAGATTTCATATTTCTTTGTTACTCCAATCAGCAGTGTGTGTATATATACTATATAATATATATATATTCAGATGAAAGAAGCGAACTTAACTTGTACAATCTGCCTAAATAAAGAATAATGTAATTGAAGTTAACTTCTTAACTTTCAATGAACTAATTAGTAAAAACATTCCGTATAATTTACTTACAGTCAACCATCTTAATTATTTATATAAATGTATATCAGGTACAATTCTAGTGCTATAAGTTACGATGGAATCTTTCATCATTTTAAGCTGGCGAATCTTAATGCTAAGGAAAACGAGAGAACGACATAAGTCGTAGTTTTTAAGTCTGTAACTTCTAAATTATCGTTACTCGTATACGTTTTTTCTGTCATTTAAACTTTCTCAATCACTAATGTCAACGTGATTCGAAAGGAAAAGAGTCGACTAAGCATCATGTAATGATTAATGAAAGTTACTCCTATATAGAACGCACAATTATTTTTAACAGTAGATTATATCTGACAAAAAAAGAAACTAAAATTCGAAACAATGGCTGTAAGAAAAACAAACTTACCATGAAAGGTTGCCTCGCCTCGTATAGACTTGGACATGGTTGCTAGTTCTTGGTTCGTCCGTCCCATCTCTTATTATATTTCACTTTTCCATCTTTTGTTTGGTTTCCTCAGCTAAAGCAAACAACACATTGCATAAATAAAACAATATAATTTCTATAGATTGCTGAAATTAAAGGACAACTGATAAAATTGCAGTGTGACTATTTTAGATATTTTTTGAGAACTTTCTAAATACAGAAATCGATAACAAAATGGAAGAGACAACAGCTCACTGAGGAAAATGAAAGATTCATTTTAATTCAATAATGAAACTGCAAACAAAATCTTTTTCTTTGTAAATGCAGAAGCAAAGAACAAAAATACGATTCACTGCTTGTAAATCACAATATCAAGACTACAATTGGCTTTTATCTTTTTAGATTTCCTAGACTAGATTTGAATGCAAAAAACTGGCAACTACAGAGTGAATTAAGTGCTTCCATATTTCCGTTAAAACTAAATTTGTTTGGGCGATAATTTTTACAACATTCGTGTTTTCACTAAAAAAAATAAATATTAAATCTATTTAAGCTCGACTAGTATTCAGTTAGATTGAAGTGTTTTATAAATGTACTGTTTTCTCGAATATAATTAACCTTTAAACTAATATATTAAGATTTTGAACCTAAAAAATAAGATAAAATTTAATTGACTAAATCTCAATTCGTCTACCCCCATCTTTCAAACATCTAACTGCATACATTTTTTTATTGGTACACCTGTATTCTGGACTACCACAAGTTTTTCAGAAGATAGTTGGGCTTCTTTTAACTAACCTTTGTCATAATTAATAAAGATTAAATGTTGTAAATAAGTCTATTATTTGATAACCTAATTAGTACTTCTTCACACTCAACACTCTTCATCAATTTCAACCCTATAAATATGTGTGACAGAAATTGACATTCAATATCGAAAACTAGGATTAATATTTCTTTTCACCCCTCAAGCTATCAATCAATGGCAGCCTCAAACTTTCACCTTGTTCTACCCTTAATTATCATGGCTCTCTCACTCTCAAGCTTCAATGGAAGCTTGGCGGCACGTAACCTACTCCAAACTTCTCTGCCGCCACTGCCGACAATTCCGACACTGCCAACCGCCACATTACCGCCACTTCCGGCCGTTCCAAACTTGCCGGCCGCCACACTACCGCCATTGCCCGCCATGCCAAACTTTCCAGCCACCACACTGCCGCCATTTCCCAACATGCCGAACTTGCCAGCAGCCACACTTCCGCCACTGCCGACCAACATTCCGGCCATTCCTAAGGTGGCGCTGCCTCCACTGGCCGCCAACCCACTGCCCACAATACCTTCAATTCCAACTACCATCCCAACTACAATTCCCTCTTTCCCTTTTCTCTCACCACCACCCTCAAACTAATACCACCATTATTCTCCGTCCCATTTTCCCTCGATTTCACGATTGATTTTTTTGTTTTCATTTTTTCGATATTGATATTATGTTTCTCTGAAGTACTTTCCTTCAGTTTGGATTGTTCCGGATTTGAGTTATTTCGTAATGTATTATTGTGTTGTTTGAGCAGATTGTGTTGTAATCTGCATTGTTGTATGTCTTCAGTAGTTCAATAGCTCTGTTAATGAGATTTCCTATTTCGTTTTTCCTCCTATCAGCAGTGTGTACACATAGTTATATTATATGTTCAAGTTCTTCTCCCAATAAATATTCAACTACAGACAAATAAAGAGCCAACTTAACTTGTACTATCTGCTAAAATAAAGAATAAAGAAATGGAAGTTATGTTGTAATAATTAGTAGAAAATTCTATATCATTTACTTACAGAAACCCATCTTTGTTGTATAAATGAGTATCAACTAGCAAGTACTTTTCTAGTGTCATAAGTTCCTATGGGAGCGATATAACTCGTATTGTGCAGCAAGTAATAAAAAAGTTACTCCTATATAAACAGCACAATCATTTTTAAAAGAAGATTATATCTGACAACAGCAAATTGAAATTCGAAATTACGGGTGTCAAGAAACAAACTTACAACGAAAGCTTCATTTTCCTCGTATAGACTTGGACGTGATTGCTAGTTCTTGGTTCGGCCTTCCCATGTCTTGTGATTTTTCCTTCTTCCATCTTTCTTTTGGTTTCCTCAGCTCAAGCAAAAAACATATAGCATAAATGAAACAATTTAATTTGCAAAGACTTATGCTAAAACAACAACTGATAAATCAGTGTGAGCTAGCTGTATCACAACTTTTGTTACCACAGAAATCTATTATAAAATGGAAGAGACGACAGCTCACTGGTAAAAATGCAAGAAATTCATTCTTAATTCAATTAGAAACTGAACCAAATTTCTTTACAAATGCATTATATACAAAAGCATCATAATACCAAGTTTCTAAATTAAAAATCTTGTGAAAGTAAAGGTCTGCTTTTGGGCTTGTAAATTTTAGCTCTTATACCGGAAAATTGTATTTATAATGTATGTTCACTGCTTGTAAATGACAATATCACGGCTACAATTGGCTTTTAGAGCTTCTTCGAGACTTTGTGCCCGGTCAAAGTCAACTTTAAAAGTGACCATCGTAACATTATCTTTTCCTGTCTCGTAGTCTTGCTTGATGTCCTCAACTTGAAAAGACTGAAGCTGCAAATCAACAGTTGCGTTGATTTTTAGATAGCAGTTTTCGGAAGTGAAATAGTAAACTGAAAAGCTATATGACACACTTGGAATGCTATTCTTTTATTTTAATAATCGTACTAGAAAATGCCAAACTATGCTCTTAATTAAGCGCTGCTGCATTTTTGTTCAACTACTTTAAAGGCAAGAAATCTCATTATGGTCAAAGAAGCTATCATAAGTTTAAAGGAAAAAATCAACTACTTGATCCAATCTTACTTCATGGTACAGGATCCCTAAAAGATCAAACGGAACCTCCAATCCCATAGGAATCTGCAGCCAAAAAAAAAATAGCTTGGTTATGCATCGATGAATACCTTCTGTCATACATAACATACCTAAATTAGATGCAAAACTACAAACTGGACCCGTAAAGAACATTCTCAAACTTGAATGGTTTTGAGAGGAAAATCAGGTATCGAAAACCAAATAGAAAAAAAAAAAAAAAATATTAAAAAAAAATATTAAAAAATAAAAGAGAACGCATTCATGTTTAATTACTTTGGATTTTACAACACAAGTTGGGGCATTTCTCAAACATTCTGAAGCTACCCCTCCATATGCTCTGACTAATCCTCCAGTACCAAGTTTGATTCCTCCAAAATACCTACATGAATATAGAAACGTACGTATCAAAAGCCCAACGTAACTAGATATAACATATGAGAAACAAACTACAATAACATATTATCAGCCATAGTATATTTTACTGCAGTTTCAAGAAACATACACGTATATACTAACACACACACACATGTATACATATATTTGTATGCATTTGTATGTATATGTATGTGTGTAACTAGGCAGAAAAACACAGTGTGATTAACTACCTGATAACAACAACCATAACTCTATCTATCCCTGAAGAGACAATTGCAGATTGTATTGGCTTGCCCGCTGTACCCGATGGTTCACCGTCATCATTACTCCGAGTTTGATCTCCAACCTAAAAATCAAGGACCATAGATCAAAGGTAAGACCGATTTCATTAGGCCTCGTTTGGGAATGTTGATGGGATTGATAAAATTGATTGAATCGCTAAGAATCAATCACGTTGTCCATGATAAATCAATATGTGATTATTATCTTATATCTGGGGTTTGTGATTATACAATCCTTTATATGCTTGATTAAAACGCGGTCTTTAATCATGGGCTTGAAATATAAACCTCAAACATTTGACAAAACTTGATTATGTTGTCTATCGAGCCTAATCGTAATTCCTAAACGATGCCGATAGAGTTTATGATTCTGTTTTCTTAGTTCAATTTCAAGTTTCAATTTTTCTCGTGTATTCTCAAGAACCCTAATTGCAGTATCATTCAAAGCAGATTGCAGAAACATGAATATAGAACACAAGAGAAGTAGTTTACCTTGTAAGCCCAACAATTATGAGTGGCACGAGGATCACGAACCTGTATAGCAGCAAATAAAACAAAGTAATCAACCAGATTAAAATCTCAGAAACCCCATAAAATAGAACTCAGGAAAAAAAAAAAGAAAAAAAAAAAGAGGGGTTGCTCGTAATTCACCTCGGAGAGGAAGGCGAAGGCGGAGCGTTCATCGGAAATGGGGCCAGAAACGGCGATGAATTTGCTCTTTTTGATTTCTCTCTCGAAAGTGACTCTTTCGGTGAGAGTGGTGAACGCGCCGCCACCGCCGGAATTATTGATGTTCGTAGATGAAGAAGAAGAAGCGGCGGCGGCGACCATTGATAATGTCCTTGTAAATGTGAAAATGGAGGAAGAAAAAATGCGGTGGTGGTGGTGGTGATGAAAGTGATTGAGGTTTATAGAATTGAACGCCGCCAGCATGGGGAATATTGTTTGGCCGCCGGAGCAGAAAGAATCGTTTTGGATCAAATCAACCCGATGCTCCTCCACCATTGTACTTCATATTTTCAATTATCTCGAGCTGATTTTATTTTTAATTTTTATATTTTTTTTAATTATTATTATTATTATTATTATTATTATTTACTTATATTAATTATAAAAATAAATATTGAAAATTGGAAAATCTTACAACCCGACTCGTGAGCTCATCAACTAAGATGGGCTCGAATTTGAACTCGTCAAAAAGCTCATATTACACATTTCTACATTATCTCGATGAATTGTTGCAAGAACGCGGCTATTTGCAATACTAATAACATTAAATGGAAGACTAAATTAAAATTTCCAATGTACAAGTATACTTAAATATCCTTACTAATTATAAAAAAAAAAAAGAAAAAAAAAAGTCAAAATGATGCAATTACCATAAAACTCAAAAAAACCACAAAAACTCTCACAATTCCATCGTCTCCATCTTCCAAAACCCATAAGAAAAATTCTTCTTCCACCTCCATAGATCCACAAATAAAAATTAAAAACCCTCAAAACTCAACAAACCTTACAAAAAGGGCAAGTGTGGAGTCAAAAGAAATCAAGATAGAAGAATAGAAGAAGTCAATAATGTATGCATTTATGTGTTTTCTAGCTATTCTATCGTTTTAAAAAAAAATTGCGCAGACCTCTTCGACATTTATAGGTCGAAATTGGTAGTTAAAAATCCGCACTAAGGGCATCTCCAATGGAGTAAGCAAATCGGGTCTCCAAATTAGAATTTGGAGACCCGTATAGAGACCCGGTGGAATCTTAGAGTCTCTAAAAAATAAAATCTCACAGTAGAGGGCTGTATAATTTTGAGTTCCTAAACAAAGTCCCATAAAATACACATGAATCTCCAAACAAAGTCCTACTAAGTTTCTTGTTGGTGTTGAATTTTCTTCTATAATTTCTATATTTTGAAGCCTAATGGAGTTGCTTACTCCATTAGAGATGCCCTACGATGTCGATTTTTTTGCACCAAACTCGATATAACCAACATGTCAATTTGGTTTACGGTGTCGCTTTGTAGCATGTATTTTTTACATCTTGATGTCGATTATAAACAATTTCAACTTTAATTGTTTTTTTCTTATTTTCTTTTTTAAGATTGAATAAACTAAGGAGCTTGCGGCGGCGGAGGTACTTGGAAGGCGAGTTTGCGGCGGCGGAATCACACAAAAAACATAACAATTGCACTGGGGGGTGTTATTTTTTTCTTGTTTTACAAAATACTTGTTCTATTATTTGGTCTTGTAGAACAAATAAAAGGTAATGTACTAATGGACATACTTTTTCATTTCATCTTAATAAAATAGAAATTTTTGTGGTTTTTTTTTAATTTGGTCTTACACTTATTGAAACTAGTATTGCGACTAGCCACGATCTTATTGCAATCAGCTCGGTAAATTGGTACACCAAACCCTCGGATTATAATTGTAAGCTAATAGCACAGACCACCTATGTTATTACTAATTGTCAAAAAAAAAAGAGTTTGGTGTTAAAATATTAACAAGAACTCATCTATGCTGTGTTTTTCAAAGTAGATCGAGACCCTTATTTTGAAGTTATTATTAACTTATATGAAATGAATAAACTACTCTTAACAGAAATATTATAATAAATAAAAAATAAAAAATAAAAAATAAAAAATAAAAAATAAAAAACAAAAAGACAGCAAAAAGAATTACAACAAGGGAAGAATGAGAGTGAGGAAAGCTACCGAGAGAAATGGGTTGTTGCGATAATGGCCATAGTTCGTCGGAACGGTGCAGTGCATTGTTGTGGGTACTGCCTAGGGGTGATAAACGAGGCGAGCCGGCTCGACAAAGGCTCGAACTCGAGCTCGTGTTTTTTGAACTCGAGCTCGAGCTCGAACCCAAATTTAGTTGTTTGACAGCTCGCGAGCCGGCTCGCGAGCTGCCTTCTTTTTCGTTTTTTTTTTTATTTTATATATATTATATTTTTATTGTTATTCTTATTATTATTATTATTATTATTATTATTATTATTATTATTATTATTATTATTATTATTATTATTATTATTATTATTATTATTATTATTATTATTATTAACTAAATAATAAATAGTTTATAATAATAAATATTTCTAGTATTTAAATAGAAACAAATCTATATTACTTAAATAATTAATAATAATATACAATAATTATTAGAAATAGGGGGGTTTATTTTTTTCTTGTTTTGCAAAATACTTGTTCTGTTATTTGGTTTTGTAGAACAAATAAAAGGTAATGTACTAATGGACATACTTTTTCATTTCATCTCAATAAATAGAAATTTTTGTGGGTTTTTTTTTTAATTTGGTCTTATACTTATTGAAATTAGTTTTGCGACTAGCCGCGACCTAATTGCAATCAGCTCGGTAAATTGGTACATCGAGCCCTCAGATTATAATTGTAAGCTAATAGCACAGACCACCTATGTTATTACTAATTGTCAAAAAAAAAGAGTTTGGTGTTAAAAAATTAACAAGAACTCCTCTATGCGGTGTTTTTCAAAGTAGATCGACCCTAAATTTGAAGTTATTATTGATTTATATGAAATGAATAAACTACTCTTAAGAGAAATATTATAATAAATAAAAAATAAAAAACAAAAAGACCGCAAAAAGAATTACAACAAGGGAAGAATGAGAGTGAGGAAAGCTACCGAGAGAAATGGTTTGTTGCGATAATGGCCATGGTTCGTAGGAACGGTGCAGTGCATTGTTGTGGGTACTGCTTAGGGGTGGTAAACGAGCTGAGCCGGCTCGACAAAGGCTCGAACTCGAGTTTGAGCTCGTGTTTTTCGAGCTCGAGCTCGAACCCAAATTTAGTTGTTTGACAGCTCGCGAGCTGCCTTCTTTTTCGTTATTTTTTTTTTAATTTTATATATATTATATTATTATTATTATTATTATTATTATTATTGTTGTTGTTATTATTATTATTATTATTATTATTATTATTATTATTATTATTATTATTATTATTATTATTATTATTATTATTATTATTATTATTATTAACTAAATAGTAAATAGTCTATAATAATAAATATTTCAGTATTTAAATAAAAACAAATCTATATTACTTACAAAATTAATAATAATATAGAATATTATAATAATAGTAGAAATTTTTTTTAAAATATAACTAGAGTTCATTATTTATTTTATAATTTTTTTTATTTTCCTATAAATATTTTTTGATAAAAAATTGAATGATTTTAATAAAAAAAATTAAATAATAAAAAAAATTAAAAAAAATTATTAAATGAGACCGAGCTCGAGCTCGTCAAAATTGGCTCGAGCTCGGGCTCGAGCCAAAAGAATTGGCTCGATGAGCTCGAGCTCGAGCTCGGCAACATGGACTCGAGCTCGAGCTCGAGCTGGCCAAAATAACTGAGCTCGGCTCGTTCCCACCCCTAGACCTTTTTATTTCCATTGCAACAGTGTGCCTATGTCGCAGGCGGAATGGACAAGTTTTAATTAAAATGCTAAAAGGTAGAATTTGTTTCAAATATATTTTTAATGCCAACATTACAATACAATAATGTGAAGAAAAACAATTATTAAAAATTAAAATATAAAAATTACAACAATCTTGTATTAACATTATGAAATTGCATGCAATATTAATACTAAATAGAACGTCGAGTTGGTCCAAAGTTTTCAAGATTATCTCTTTGAGTATCACCGGTAAATGTGACTCAAATTATCCATATTGAGGCTCATTTGATACATGAGATGAATCGGTATGCACAGATGCTTTATGATTATGATGATAGTACCCAAATCTTTGATATCCACTATTGTCAGAAAATACATAATTGACCTCGTGATATCTGGCATTTATGCTTCTAGAAGACCCGCTATCATATCGAATGTCACCTGTATATAAAGACTCACGGTATATATTATGCACCGAATCGTAGTAACTATCAAAATCACTACATATATCGTCATCATATCACCTAGGCTCCTCTTCATCAAAAGCTAGCTTTCGACTTTCCCTCATGGCATTCTGTAATTGCTTCTTCGTGATTGTTGATAAATGTTTTTTGTGTGCGTATTGAGAACCTTATTCATCATCATTCTCGTTGGTATCAAAGTCATGAATATTCCTATTTTCTTCCTAAATGGACATTATAATTGTTCCTTTTTTTTTGTTTTTTTTTCCATTATTGCTCTAGTTGCTTCAGAATCATGAAAATGTTTTCACAACATTACCAAAAAAAAAATCAGACCTATTCTACATGCCTCTACTTCTCCAGACACATGAGCGATGTATTGTTTCACCCACTTGTAATTACTACATAACGGAATTTACATTTAATTTTCTTCCGACTATTACCAATTTTCAACTGATTGTTTGGACCCATTCTACATGATTGTGGAAAAAGTGTGCAATTAAACGTCAATACTAATTTTGCTATTGCTGCTAATTTTGGTATTGCTTAAATATATGTTAATATTTTAATCTTATGCACGTCAACTTACGTATTCAATATATTTGTTTAAAAAATATGATTATAACTAAAAATTATAGACTACAAACTTTTAGCAACATATAAATTATAAACATATCAAATTGTACCTTTTACGAAAAGAAAATCCGATAATAGTTGAACACTTGTTTTTCTATTTAATCACTTTGTCTATATTCCTTCTTTCAATGTCACACTATTTATCTACATATTCCACCACTATATATAACCCTATTTATCAACCGAGATTAGGGCAAAACAAAAGAACAATTGTTATTTTTGAATTATGAAAGGATTTACAGGCTACGTTTATTGGAGATGGAAGGAAAAAAGACAGAAAATCATTGAAGAAAGAAAAGAGACGAGCTGGTTTTCATTTTAAAGATGATGTTATTACAACTTCTCATATTTATAACCAAAAAATGTATGGCCATTTTGATTGTATTCTTAAAGAAGAGATGAATGGACACCACTCCACCAGGTGGCCTGAGTTAAATTTATTTTATAAAAAATCTTTAAATCATTTTTTTCTAAAAGTTTGTCCATATGATTTACATTTTCTATTCAAAAGAAATGAGACAATTAATTTATTATCTACGTCAAATATATTCTTCTTTTCATAATATTAGAATTTTTGATATTATAAAATTGAGATTGTGAAATTTTGATATACACATATTCATATTCATAATTATTATTAGAAGAAGAAATGACACATCATCAAAAGTCGATATGATACAGAGAATGCAACCGTCACATAATGCATACTTCAAGGGGCCAATGTACCCTTATAAATAACCAACATAGTGTAGTCAAATTGATTCAAATATTTGTCATTTTTATGAACCCTGCTAAAAAGTATTTAAATTTAATTTAGTAAAGACACTCCAAAAAATACTATTGAAATCAGAAAGAAAATATTGAACCGAAACTCAAGGCAGCAGGTCCTGCGATTTCGAAGGCCTAAACATATCTTATACAGATAATATGTCATAAACTTATTGTGTTTTTAGGTATCTAACACATAAATTTTATTGTTATAAGTGTTAACTAGTTTGTTTGATAGATTTACAAGTGATATGTTGCTCGTGTTTATATACTACTCAACCCTTAATGCATGGTGGTAATTGAGTTTAATCCCACAGTTGAGAGGGACTCGATGAATATTTTAGAGACTCAATAAATATTTTAGATATATTCTACATGGCCAGTGGCGGTACAATCGAGAGGTTTCAGGGAAGTTCGCTTAGAAAAATATCTACAATTTGGTGACAGCATTTTGCATATTTTTACAGCATTCTTATAGACAAAAGTAGTATACTTAGTTTTTTTTTTTTTTTTTTTTTTTCAGTTTTTTTGGTCTAATTAGAACATCTTTGGTCCGATACTGTAAAATTTGATCCAAAATAGATGGATCGTCAACTAAATATAATGTAGTTAGTAATTATTGTCCTTCTATCATATTGTAAAATATGACAATCAATTACACCTTTTTATTAATTTAAATTTACAATAAACGAAAAATCTATTTTATGTATATATTAGCAGAACAAAGTTGGCTTCTCCTATTTTACATTAAAATTATATTTTGATTTCATTTTCTATAAACACTCTTTCTTTTAACTTCTCAGTAAGAAAATATACCTGCAAATTAAAAGTCAACTAATACGAAAAATGATATCGAAATCAATGCAATTGCTTTCATAGATTGAAGAAATATAACAATTATGACCAGTTCCTGAAAATACAATTAACTCGACCAAGGATTTACAGCCTCTAACTTAAACACAACTCGAACTCAGCAAACAAAATGTTCGAGTTGCTTCTCTCATTGTTCTAGGGCGGGTTAGTGAATATACCTGTCAAATTTTATATACCTAAATAAATACAACTAGGTAATTATCTGCTGCGTAGCAGTCGGTCATAGTATACACGGGGAACTCCTTTCTCCTTCTCATGTGTTTCCGTTCAAGAAAAACAATCACGGGCCGTAAAATCTAGGCCCGAATATATATCCTGATAAGTCCTCTGCACTCGAGTCCTTTGTGCTATCTGTACTATACGAGCCAGCATCAGATGCACTGAAAATAGAAGAATTGTCACTCGATGAATCCAATATATGATTTTTCTTGTAGCGAAATCCCCATTTGTCATAATCTAATATATGGTTGTTGGTCAAATCATGAGGCGACTCTGTTGACCAATCGGACGAGCTTGATTTGAATTTCCAGTTTTTCTTCTGAGGAATGGTACTTGCGGAAACGGCTTCTGTATTTCTCTTGGTTTTTCCTCCATCAGAATAGACATCGATGTTTGTCAATAAAGATGGACCCCGTGGTGTATGCCTAATATGATACGATACTTTTATTACTACAATAAATACTGAAGGAAATATATATAAGTTTTCCGAATCGAATTAACCAATATAGATCACCTCGAATAGAAGAGAATATATGCTTCCACAGATAAAACAGTCGCCAGGTCAACACGGCTTACCTACAAAGGAAAATATATAATTAATGATGATAACCCTCGACTCAAAATGACCGGAAAATAATATATATATATATATATATATATATATATATATATAAGATGACAGACATACTCTGGTGTCATCAATTCTAAACCACTCTCCCCGAAAATCTTTGACATAACTTATGTAATGACCACTGTAAGCAGCATTCATCGTATTTGAGTGAACGACCACTGCATAGAGATTATATATAGGGTATTTGTCGCTCTTTCCACTCATATAAGGAGCAAGGTTCAGAAATTCTGGAAACTGAATTGGCTTACTCAGCTTTTCTGAGTTGCCTGACTGCAAAAGGAATTGCAAAGCAAGATTTAGACATCATGACAAATAAAATACCAAGTGCTGCTAAGTAAATGCGAATTACCCGAAATCGCTTCAAAACAATTGTAAGAATGTTGGGAGCTTCAATTACAGTCAATTTCTTCTTAGCTTTCTCATAGGACTTGCATCTGCAATGAAATGTATCTGGATCCGTTAACCATGATAAACATCAGACGGACATTGACTTAAATTGGGTTGAATACATTGAAATTTAATTCTCTCAATTCATAAATCATGTTTGCACCTTGGATATCAGTAAAACAGAAAGTGAGGGAAGCCTTTACGTTCTTTTGGTCTCAAAGGGAAACGTAAAAGTGGTTATAAATAAACAATTACTAGATTCTTGATATACCATACATATGTTTTATTTCTTTTTTCACCCAATGTTCTTCAATAGGATGCTTATTGAATCTAAAAGAAGAATCTAACAGAATTTCGTTATCACTGATGGTGCTCTTCCTTTACAATTTTCTTAAATATCACAATCCAAAGACAACGTTCTTCTCAGAAACACGCTATCTACAAGTAGTCACAACGATATATCACTGTACTTCTCTTTTCTTATGTGCCTTTCAATGTCAAAGTTTCAAGTAAGAGACAGTATAGAGAAAACAAACTGAAGTTGACGATACAAACTTATTCTTCAAGGGTCCACTTTTAAGATAAATAGTCATTTTCAGGAGGATAACTTTTTTTTTCTTTTTCGAAATGCTAAAATTCCCTTAAATATCTATGATAGGTCCCTATAGAGAGATTACTACTATATGCAAAATTGATGCATAAGATCATATCTACGCAGTTTAAAAGGAAAGGGGAAAAAACAAGGAAAGGGTCACGTGATCGAAGTGATTTTATGAGGGCAGCACATATGATACAAAACACAGTTTACAAAACAAATAATCACTATTTGAATTAATCTCAAAGAAATCTACAACTTCTAGTATAATGGACAATTGCACTAACCTGCTGCACTTGTACTTGTCATCTCCACCAAGTGTTTCAGATATGGTGAACTGCGCAAGAGCCCCTTCGAGAGTATTGATATCCCCATCGATCTCCACAGTAAGATCCATCATTCTGTCACACTGTTCAGATCTCCGTGAACACTTCATACACTTAATCTGGCATTACATACGACACTAGTTAGCAAAAACCACTATCGTATTATTTAAAACTAAAAACCATTAACATATAGGGATGTGATGAAAATCGTTTCACTTTTACGAATATTGTTTCGACTTCAAACATGATTTTGACTATTTTGAAGCCTGAATTTGGCAAAACTCAAAACACAAAATTTATAGTTCTTTGAGTTAGCTTTCTAATCCAACTTGAATCACCAAGATTGGATGTCGTGTGAGAAAGATATGCATAAATCAATGAACATTGCACATAACTTTTTGAGTTATCTAAAATTCAAAATGTAACTCATTCATGCATAACTTTGTCACCCGATATCTGATCTAGCTTATTCAAGTTAGGATTAGAAAGCTAACTCAAAGAGTCAAAGGACTACAGTTTTCGGGTTTCAAATTTTGCCAAAATCAGATTAGAAAATGGCCAAAATCACATTCGAAATCAAAACAATATTAATAAAACTGAAACGACGTTTAACATTTCAGTAACATATAAGTTCAAAAGTCAGTGGCTGACAGGAAAAACATCATGTTTTGTAATATAATCAAAATGAAGACGGACCTTGGATCTAAGATAACCGCCAAAGGTCTGGCCCAGAAGGGTTGAATTTTCAGCTATTGAGCCAGAAACACATGCTTCTTCAAGCCATATAGATTGCATTGTATCTACCACATTTCTGTATCACATATCATAATCACTGTTAGTATATTCAGTTTAATATTTCTCGAACCAAAATCAAAATTCTATCAGACACTTACCTCAAAAAGTCATGTGCATCTTCTTGTCTTCCATGACTTAGATGACTTCCAATCCTTTGTATCTGAGACAGTATTCCAACTGGAGACAAAGGAGAGTTCGTTTCTTGTCCCTTCCGAATCAGATGTTCAAACTCACAGATGAGGCACCAACCCCTCTTGCGACCTAAATAATTGTTCAGAAAGAAGACATAAGAAACAACACTACTGGAGATCTACATAAAGTGTTAGCAACTAATGAATCACAAATAGGTACTTGCATGTTTTAGAATGCAGCCCTTGAAGAAGATAAGAAGCAACTGGCCGAGTAAAAGCCAAACACTGCAATACTGCATTCGCATAACAGCTGTAAGAAGAAACAGAAAAGGTTACATTATATATACAACACAGAAATATTAGCTCATGCTGCCATTGAATCAAAAGAAGGAATAAATATATTTAGAAACATGGAGGATAAAAACAAAAGCACCATATTTTTTCAAGCACAAAAAGAGCAAAGATGAGAAGACAATATTAACATCCCTATCTCTTTCAGCAATAAAACGATTTCTTATTTTTTCTGTACTAATGACTAACTTTTCCCTCGTATCTGTATAGTCTTCACCAGATACAAGAAAAGAAACTTCATAGCTTCACAGGATTGAATTCACCTTGTTTAATATCCATAAATAAAAAGAAACTAGTACGTCAATTTATAAATAAATTCAATATGTAACACATGAAGCTTTTAGGAGTAAAGATCATACTGTAGGTTTTCGCTAACCGATCCCAGAAGGAAAGGCCAAAAGCTTTTTCGTCCAGATAATAAAGTTAATAAGAGAAATAGGGTGGGCACTACTACTCAAACATAGTTTGAAAACATAGGAGACATTAAAGAGTAACAACAATGTCATGGAGATCATACAACAAAACTGATACTTCTGATCTAAACTTTTACTATCATGAGATGGAACGGGTCCACCACTGTGACGATTACTCAGAAAAATCAAAAAACATCTCCCGCTTATAAATATGTTATTTCGTCAAGAAGACATGCTGACCATAAAAACACATGAGCCAGAGAGCCAGATAAGTCATGCACATTGCACTAACAAATATCAAAGCATGCGCTTCGAAAAATGAGAACTCACCTATTTCCACAGTTGAAGAGGCCAACAGGGTGAAGTTCCAAACCAGTACAAGAATACAGTTGTATGAAAAGCTTGGGAGAAAATATCATCTGTCAAGAGAAAAACATGACCAATCATTAAAGCATGAAAACCTTTGTGAAAAAAATTCGAACTTATTTAATTAATAAAATTCACGGAAAATAACCTTATGGTTGTAAGCAGAGTCCTTCCCCGTGTCAAATGTGTAGGACTTTGACTGTTTTGGTACTTTAAAATGTTGTACAATTTTCCGTACTGATGTTTTCAGAGTATTGCTGGTAGGTTGTGACAACGTTTGGACACCTTCACTATCTGAAAGCAAATTTTGAGTGCTTCCCATTTTTGCACACACCTTATTATTTTCTGAACTCCTAGACAACATTGGTCGTGTTTCTTTTTCTTTGCACAAATGTGCTTCATTTTTCCATTAATCTTCTGATGACGACGTTCTCAACGATTTTGAGCATTTTGAAGTCCTGAATTCAACAATAGGCACTTGATGATTGCTTGATCCTCTACGGTACATGGATTTTGTTACTTTACTACTAGAAGATGGCTGTGCTTTCATGGAAGAGGATGTCTTCAAAGAACTATTGGATTGGAAACTCTTTGACTCAGTTGTATGCGGGACAAACCCTTCCAACACAGCGGCTCCACTGCAAGTTCTTCTATCTTTGATGCTTGTTGTTTGAAAGCCTTCATCAGGTTTGGCAGCTTTTGTCCTTTTTATCTTATTAGCCTGAGGTGTATAATTTACTTCAGAAACAGTAGAATTCAACGGAGATAGGCTTGGTATATCCAGCTCATCAGAATCAGAGATACTATGCGACCTCTTCAATTCAACACTATCAGAAGCCAATTTATCTGGCCTGGTTGGAGTATTCGACTCAAGGACCTTGGTGGCTGAAGCATCAAATGATATCTCACTACTTCCACTGGAAGAAGAAAAGCAAGGGGATGAACTACTAGAAGATCCAGTATCACCAAGATGTTGAGTGGGATCAAAACCAAATTTTGCTTCAGTGTTAAAATCGATCTGAGACTGATTTTTCGTTGCTGTTTCCACAACAAATTCACTTTCCTGGCTAGCTTGCAAAAGAGTTGCTGGTAGACAATCATCCTTGTGACCTTGTCTCCAGTGAATTATTTGACACTTGCCAGAACTAGAAGCAAAGAAAAATCAATAATAAACATGAGAAAGCGCTAATCCAACCAAATATGACCTGGTTTACATAGGCAAAACCTAACAGAAGTTCTAGTAGAAATTAATTTCACCACCAAACCAGAACTTCAAAATTGCCGTCATAAGGACGACTAAGTGAAAAGCTGACACATCAAAATGCTGCTAGCGTGATTATCTTAACAAAATGCTCCTTGAAAGAGTATTTGAACGAATAACTATGCTAAGTGTCAGGTTATATAAGTAGCTCATATAATCTCTATCGGGTTCTATTCAACTGATGAGAATTTGGAGGTAACATATGCAGAAAGTAGTTCATATATGCAATTCGGTATGTGCATTTTCAATTTCCAGAGAAATACCAAATGTGGGCATTTTTAGCCTCAAGAACTCAACACTTGAATAAAGATCACCACTAAATCCGGATGAAAATCTCCAAATCATATCGTATTTTTAGCTTTTTGACCACTAAAAAGTTTAGATCTACTTAGGAAATTTGTGATACATAATACATCCAAAACTGGTAAACAAACAGTAGAAAATCAACTACCGTGCTTAAAGTCATTATTCCAATTCTTTAATGAAAATAAATTGGATTTTGTAAGAGCCCAAACTCCTAGATAATTTCCATGAATCAAGATTTCATTTTGTTTCCAAATAACATATTTAATGAAATCATGGTTGTAAGAAAATCTAACATTGTCGATCAAGTTCCAGGTTGTCCATTAGGTCATTAAACTTAGGGCAACTGAGAGTTCACTTTTAAGGTTGCCAAGTTTGCTTAACTTTAAGATTATGATCTGGTGTTGGACCGATGACATTAATATATTTTTTTTCCAAATTGGGACTACTTTCTCCACTTTTGCTCCTGTTTCTTTCTTTTAAATTTCTCTTCCATAAACATCACAAAGAGTTAACAACTCATTTTAACACCTAATAAGTTTATCAAAATATTCGGCTATCCTTTTTCCGGTGCAACTACAATCTAAACAAAGTTCACTAGATCAGAAGATCTAAAACCTTCTTCTCATAATATCTAAAAATAAATATAGAATTTCTCTCAAAAGAGTATATAAAATGTGAACAACGGAGTCATTGGTCAAGAGAATGTTCAGTCTTCAAACGTACATAAGATGCTGATTATCTAAGTTAAATGAAAGTTAACAGCATTTCGCAGGAAATCTTATTCCAACCCTAGCTCTAAATTCAACAGACCTCACCCTGTCACAAGAAAAATGTAAGACCTTATCTCCTCACAGCTTTAGTCACTACCATTTCAGACATACAACTGGTACATAACAAAAACAAACATATGATATAACTTAGTACGAACGAAGAATCGAATCGTGAGAGGGAAAACCTTGCAAAAAACAAACTATTCGTGTGTCATCAGGATTAAAGCAGCCAGTGCCACTAAACATTCAGACTAATTTACTGGTGCAAATGAATCCCCCACATGCATTTAACAGTTAAACGTAAACCGGTAAACGACAAGACTACTGCACCAGACAGCTACTTGATAACTGTGCCCCCCACATTATTCTAGAATAGAATGCGAAAAAAATATGATATTACTGATTATTTTCTTGCTTTCTTTGAAAACAACTTACTACTAACAGGTCATAGTGCAAATTGATCGCATTCCGGCTTGTTCTCTATTCCATTCAACCCTCTTTTTCTTATAACTAGACCAAACGATTCCACAATAGTTTTTTTCTATTCGCGAAGCCACCTACTGCCTGTATCACTAAGACACCTTACCTAGATTTTAAGCATCTCCTAAACCTATCAGGTTCAACAATACACTAATTGCAGATTATTTTTTTTTCTTTTTTAAGAATCTATTATTCATGACCTAATGTCTCAATCGGACAATTACTCACTTCTTATTAGAAACCCCCATCTTTGAAAAACATTAAATAACAATATTTGAGCAGCAGTTCAAACAAATACGAATTAAAAATCAGAGATACACACAACACTCACCAGTATCTGACAGCTTTGCACTGGGCACACCTAGTAGTAGTTGGGCAACAACAAACAGCACAATAATACTTCTTCTCAAGCTGCTGCGGCGGCGGCTCCGGACGAAAATCATAGCCGTCAACTGCTTGTATCTTAGCAATTTCCGCCTCTTCTTCGGAGGCCGCAGCCACAAGCCTCAAAATCTCCTCCCTCTTGGCCGCCTCATTCCCCCACTTGCGGCGCACTACAGCCCCGAAAATTAGCAAAATTACGACAATTACTAGCATCGATTTACGATTCTCTTCGAGTCAAATTAACCGGCGGCGAGGATTCACAAACCCTAGGAACCGAATTTTTTTGCAGTAATACATAGATGTTGGTGCTGTGCGGTGGAAAGTGGCGGCACCGGCGCTCCGCGGTGGAGAGGGGTAAAATTGGAAATAAATGAGAAAATCGAATTTGACGTAAATTGACGAGTAACGAGTGTGGAGAATTTTGGGGAGTGAATTCTCGAAGACTGAAAAAAGTAGAGAGAGGAATCTAAAGGAAGTAATGAGCGTGTTTGGTTTGGTGGGAACTTTAGCCAATCACTGTTTTTTCTCCATTTTAGATTTTAAAATAATTGTTCTCGTTTCGTTTTTTTTTTTTTAAATATTCCGATTTTCGATTTTTTAGAACCGGTTCGAACAGTATTGGAATACATATTAGATATCGAATTTTGATCTAATTTAAATTTCAAATATTTTTATACGATCTTTGTTTTTACTTTTTCTCGAAAATTACACTAAAATATCAATATTATTATGTATCTTTTATATTATAGGTGACTGAAAAAATAGAAACTCCGAATTGCGTCAATTTTGATTCCATATCTTCCGATTTTCGAAGAAGTTTGTCATTCAAATCTGCGGGCCCACACATTTACATTTTTGCTTCATTTTTTTACCTTAAAAATACAAATTGGCCAACCAATTCCTTGGCACATGGCAGCTTCTTAAAACGCGTGTGTGCTAATGACGTTTTACTGTAAAAGTGAAATAACTTGTAAATGTTCCCTAGTTTTGAAAAAAAAATGGCCTAGAAAAAAATTGTCCAAATGAAATACGCATCTTGATATTCCACGACTTCAATTTACATACCACTCCGTTAACATGTTCGTTTTTCACAAAATTTCTATCTAGATATTTCCAAAATTTGCAATATTTTATCTTTTAATTTTGCAATTTTCATTGTTTTATGTCTAAACTATTGGTATAATAAATTTCTTGAATATAGTGATATTTAAGAAATTAATATATTTACAACTTTTTTTTAGAATCGGGCTTTTTACATCTTAATGTAGTTCATTAACGGGTTAAGAATGGTCAACTAGGAAGCGATTTTATATGTAAACTTCCCATAATACTATTTTGATTTCATAAACAATAAACTACGTCATTTTCTTATTGAGATTACAGACTTTCAGTGTCGGCGGTTTATTTGATCCTTCACCTGGTGAATTTTTAAAATAATTTTGATAGGGCTTTTAAAATACTATTATGATAATTTTGTACTTAGATTCATCGAGTCAAAATGTAAACATAGATCAGGGAGTTTTTATATGTTTACTTTAATTGTTAAAAACTTTCGCGTATGATCAAATTATTTCTAGCGAACTACCCTTTCAAAAAATAACCATTGATTTGGGTAAATTGCATTTTACCACCCATAGGGTCGATGTACTAATAATTAGACCCTTTCAAAAATTAACCATTGATTTGGGTAAATTGCATTTACCTCCCATGAGGTCGATGTAATCATAGTTAGACCCTCTATGGTTTGAAAAATTATGCATATGATATCCCTTGAGGTTTGATATTGGTTTAGACTTAACCATTAAACTATTTATTTTTTTGAAGTTTCATGTTTATCCTTGAACAAATATTAAGTAAATAGATTGTCTCATCATTGAGGTTTGATCTAATTACATCAAGACCCTTATATTTTTTTAAATATTACAGAGACCTGCTAGTTTCACATTTCACTCTAAAACGTTTCGTTTGCTTGGAAATATTAGCCATGATTAACTAACTAATTGGACTTTATTAGATGTTTGGTATCTCCAAATAATAACTTATTGGGTCGACCTGCAAATATTGTGTTAGCATGGCTTATCTTGCCTTGTAAGTATTTTTTTTATTGGATCTTCAAAGGTAATAATACAATTAGGTGTAATTAGATTATTTAATCTTATCTTGAAATTGATGCATAAGTAAAAATTGAAAAAAGTTCTAAGAATATATTTTAATTTTAAAACTGATACAGGTATAGATAGATAACATGTGGTCGCTTTGGCCGAGTGGTTAAGGCGTGTGCCTGCTAAGTACATGGGGTTACCCCGCGAGAGTTCGAATCTCTCAGGCGACGATTGTTGTTTTTATGTTTTAATAATTATATATTTAGAAAAACATGGATTAAATTACAAAAACCTCCCTGAACTTAGATTAAATTATGAACAATACTACAAGCTATGTAAAGTTAGATAATTCTTCCCAACATCTGGTCGCTTTGGCCGAGAAACACCCCCCAAAACGCGTAAACGCCCAACTTGGGCGCCCATTCATGCAGTGCACGCCCAAGTTGGGCGTGCAAGCTGCATTTGGGCGCCCGAGTTGGGCGTCCAGTGCAAATTTTTTTTTTTTTTTTTTTTTTGTTCGAACGCCC